TGCACAATCTTCAAACACATCGATTTTGTTGACCCTCAGAGGACTAGACAACATTGCATTTGGAGTCAGATCCAGGTGGTAAATGGACGTGTCCGACTCACTAGAATTATTCAAAGTGTAGTCATAGATCCAGATACCAGCTGAAACTATCCAAAAGACGATGAATCCGTAGAAAACCGGTTTTCGATTGTGACTAATATTGAATAATTTCCCCATAATGTGAGACAAATTACTCTATCTCTTGATAAGTGTTGACAAAATCCCGGGAGACCATTTATAAATAAGGAGCATAATCACTTTGAGCTATATACGTGTCAGGTGTAACTGTGAGTGGAGCGGTAAGAGGCAATTGGGATGTGTTGGGAAAGGGGAATGCAATGTGACGAAAGGGGTCTTCTGGACCCTGTTTTTCCGTCAGACTTTGCAGATAAGGAGTGTCATCACCATAAAATCTCATTAGCGTTTGGAAGTCAGATATGCAGATACGAGAAACGATGTTAATTGAACATGATGATATTACCTGTTTGAGTTCTTGGGACCAGCTCAAAAGATTCCCAATGAGGCTAATAGGTGAGTACATGACACTATCTGTGAAAGGTTGCCATTCAAGAGTAGTAAATCACCAATAATTACCCCTTAAAGAATGAAAGGGGCTTCATATGCTAGAATATTTTTCTCGTTAACAATAGACTGAAAATCATCTTAATTCAGCACTGTGGTTATCAGGCGAAGACGATCTTCGGGCGGCCAACAATTTCCATTGTCCAATTGCCTAAATGGTTCAGTGAGCTGATTATCTATTAAACCCACTGTGGTTCAAACAGAATTCTGTGGACGTTTTGGGTTGTATTTCCAGGCTCTGCGGCATTTATTTATCACCCTTCACGGTTAATGCACACTTTAGGTGGGAATAAGGCAAATTCCCCATACTATTGGAGAATGTTAATCCTTTAACATACCTTGGAAGAAGAGAAAGTTACTACATTGGGTAGACAACTACTTCCGTGTAATCACGGAAAAGTCTGGCCTCAACCTTAAATTTCCCCTTAAACCCAAATTTCAAAGGTGATGGCCATTTTTGGTTAGGCATCTAATAAGAAGAAAAACAAGCCACTCTTTGTAGTAAACCCCGTCTCCCCTAGGTTAACTTCTCTACTATTCGAGGACTGTCCCAGTTTTACCTCATTAATAAGGTTTTATTCAGCATATTTTCCAAAGTAAAAGACTACGCTTTTTAGAAATGCTGCTAAGAAGAAAGGTAATTCCAGAAAGCTTTCCAATAATTTGCGTAATCCTGATTTTTAAACATCTGAATAAACTTTCTATCATTAATTACATCTTCTACTGTTAATTTCACGGTTTTTTTGTGATCTCCCCGAAAAAGTGTTTTTTTTGAACCCCTTTTTGCTAATTATGATGTTCCCAAAAGGCACATCGAGGATACTTGAACGTTCCTCTTATAGAACTGCCTAGTTAAGTAGCATTAATGAGACACTAAAAGTTGTTGCTAAATATAAGAATTTCAACTTAGGCATATAAAATGGCTTTTAATTCTACATTTTGCCAAAAAACGTAAGATGATTTTAAAGTCCATAACATTCTTGGCTTTTGTCACCCCAGTCGTTCTTGGGATATCAGGATGCTCTCCTCCATCGACTGAAAGTGGCCTTGCTGTTGATTACTTTGACGACGTTGAGCATTACAACTTTTCCTCTGATTATTTGAGCACAATAGATGCCATGACTCCTGACTATACAAAATATGGAGTCTCAAATATTGATTTTGATTTCACAGGAATACTGGAAGGCGACTATGGGGATGTATATGGCCGCCAAACACCGGTCGATTATTTTGCTTTGAGGCTCTCTGGGTATTTTCTTGCCCCTGAAACTGGCACTTACACTTTCCAAATTACCCTTGCTGATAATCAAGCATCCTTTGCCTTTGGTGGAGTTACAGAGACCCTTAATTGTTGTTCAAGCCCCAGCAATCTCCAGGTAAATGGGTCCGTTTATGCTCTGTTAAGTTCAACTACTGGTGAACTTGAAACTACCGCTACAACTGTTTATCTAGTTGCTGGTGACTATTACCCAGTGAAGCTTATTTACTACCAAGCAGGACCTACTGCAGGTACTTTTGAACTAACCGCTACATATCCTGACGGTAACAGTCATACAACCGACCTACCTTGGTATTCCATCAATGACACGGAACTGGAATTATGTACAACCACCACCACCACTAATATTTGGACTGGAACAGATACTGAGACATTCACAGAAACTGCCTCTGATGGTAATGTATTTGTTACTATTGTAGTACCAGAATCCACAACGACCATTACTGAACCATGGACAGGCACAGATACTACCACTACTACCATCTATCCATCCAACCTAAATGATACCGTAACTGTTGACATCAAGACTCCAGAATCAAGG